CACGTCCACCGCCTGCTCTTGGCCCTGACTTGTCACGCCACCCCCAGTGCAGCAACGTCTGAGACCTCACCGTCCTCATTCTCATCCCCGAGGCATCAGGCGCTTTGCTCCCTGGTCCCGCAATGATGTAGCAGGAAATCTGGCGGTTCTGAAGAGCCACAAAGTGGCGCCCTCCAATTAGCGAGCAGGACCTCAGATGGCAGCAATCAGGCGAGCAACACAGACCCACACAGGGCAGGACACTGCGGGCCAGGGGGAGCGGCTGCAGCCCTCGGCCCCCAGCCTCCGTGCCAAGGTCGGGCTCTTCTTCCTAACCCTAAGGACAGAGCGAGGCACCGTGCAGGCCTAGCTGTCTCCACCCACGGAGCATTCCCGGGCAGGCCGTGGGTGCCCTGGGCCCTCGCTGGGCAGGCAGAGGCTCGGCTTGCTCCTGCCCCTCCTCCCAGGCCGTGGTTGCACCTGAGCCGGACCTTGCAGTCCTTAACTACATGTGAGTCTTCCTCCTGGTGTATCTTCCTAATCTGCTTAGGTGACTGTGAGCTTGATTACTGGCACTGCTCTCCTTCAAGCCTGTTTTGACAGCTGCCACATCAGAGCATGCCACTGGCGCTGAAGACCACAGCGGCCACCAGGGGCAGCAGGCAAGAGTGACAGCGGGGGGGGGGTGGTGGTGTCCAGGACAAAACATAACAGAGAATCCAAAAATTAATCCATGCAATAAAATGTTCTGACAAGAGTATCAAGAACACACAATAGGGAAACAGTGTTCTCCTCAACAAATGGTGTTCAGACAACTGGACATCTACATGCAAAAAACAAACAAAAAAAAAACAACCACCTCAACCCCTATCTTATACCATGAAAATCAACTTAAGATAAAGACTTAAACATAAGAGCCAGAACTATGCAACTCCTAAAAACAAGCAAGGGGAGAAAATTTCTTACCATCAGTCTTGCCAATGATTTCATGGATATGAGATTGGTTACAGGCAACAAAAACAATGATAAAAAAAATGGGACTACATCAAACTATAAAGCTTCTGTGCATCAAAAGAAATAATCAAGAATGAAAAAGTAACTTATAGAAAGGAAGAGAGTATTAGAAAACGTTTGATAAGGATAATCAGAATATGTAAAGAACTATACTCAATCACTTTCAAAATAAACAATTAATAACTGAATTTAAAAATGCACTAAGGACTTGCATAGACACTGCTCCAAAAGCAACCCACAAACATCTGAAGGTATATGAAGACGTGCCCACTGTTACTGGTCCTCAGCAAAGCAGACATCCACTCACAGGTCTCACCTCATAGCCGCCAGGACGACACAACTGCTGATGATACGCAGAAATCAGAATGCCTGCATGTTGCTAGTTGCTATACCTGCTATGGCAACCAGTAGAGGTTCCTCAAAAAATTACGACAGAATGGTCACATGATCCTGCAATCCCACTTCTGGGTACTTGTTCAGAAGAATTCAAACCAAGAAGTCAAAGAGATACTAACACTCTGATGTTCTCTGCAGCACTACACCTAACAGCCAAGGAGTGGCAAGGACCTGAGTACATACTGATGGAAGAACGGGGCTGGCACTGTGGCCCAACAGCTTAAGCTACCACCTGCAGTGCCAGGATCCAACATGGGCACCGGTTCAGGTCTCGGATGTTTCATTTCCAATCCAGCTCTCTGCTATGGCCTGGGAAAGCAGCAGAAGATGGCCCACGTGCTTGGGCCCCTGCACTCATGTGGGAGATCCAGGCTCCTGGCTTTGGATCAGCCCAGCTCTGGCCACTGTGGCCATTTGGGGAGTGAACTAGCAGATGAAATATATATATATATTTCTCTCCCTCTGCCTCTCTATAACTCTGCCTTTTAAGTAAATAATAAATAAATCTTAAAAAATAAAAGAATGGGTGAAGACAAGGTGGGACCCGCATACAGTGGGACACTGCTCAGCCTATGAAGAGAAGGGAGCCCTACAGGGCTCAACAGCGTGAGTGACTCTGAGGGTCCCATGCTTGCGAGAAGTACACCAGGCACAGAAAGACAAACGTTCAATGATTTCACACATAGGAGGCGGCAGAAGTAGTTAAATTTGCAGAACCAAAGACAGGAGAAGCGGTGCCGGAGGACTGAGGGAGAGACACGGAGTCCCTGGACGAAGGGAGTAAGCTCCGAGACCTGCCGTGCAGCCTTGCCCCTCTGATCAACAGTAACCTGCGCTGCAACAGTGCTCATGGCAAGTGTTCTAACCAGAACAGCCTCCTGACTCCCACAGGCGAAGCCAAAGATAGCCACGGACACGGACCGTGGAAGCATGGAGCATTCTGGCCTGCATACGGGTTTGCTTACCACATACGTGTTTCATGCTACTTCCCACCCACTGCACTTCTAGTCCACTGACCTGGTGGCAAGCACCACGACGCAGGGCATGGCCATGCAGCGGAGGATGACATGAAACTACGTACCTGGAAAGGCAGCAAGTTCTCCCTACACTGATGCCAACTGTAACAGCTGAAAGCCTACAAAACCCTTGATGTTTTCTTGTGTGTCTGTGTGTGTGTGTGTGTGTGTGTGTATAACGTTTCACACAAAGCTTGGAAGCTGTCATTTCCAGATTCAACAGCTTTCCTGGTACCTGCCCAGCTACAGGATGTCACATGCCTTCTTCCTCTTGAGGTCACGCCAGCTTCTCCCACCACACTCTTGCATCCAGAGTGGAAACTGACCACGCTTCCCCCGCTCTGCCTCTGCTCCACTTTCCCAAGACCTCCCTGCCATACTCTTCTTGGGTCCTCCCCAAGCCTAATGGGCAATGTTAGTGAATGACCTGTTTTGTAAGTCAGTTTCTGTGACTCTGGACAAAATGAACCTCCCAACTAACACTGCAACAGTGGTACCAAAACCACCCCTATTATATTCCCAATACTAGTTCAAATCTCTCAGAAGTCACACACCCAATCCTGAAGGGAACTTCATTCTATGAGCTACAGAATGCCTGTGGCAAAAAAGCAGTAACTGGACAGCATTCTTGTCAGAGGTCTAAATTTTAAGGGTCATCTCTGAGAAAACGCTCTCCAGCTTTCTTAAAGGAAAACACCTCGCCTTCTCTTCAGTGCCACTCGGGGCCCACGTGTGGGGTCCAGCAGAGCCCCACAAGCAGGCAGCACCTTGAAGAACTCCAAGAACTCCCCTGCAGGTACCGCGACGATCCGCTATACTTACATACATTGCTGTTTATGTATTTGTGAGGTTTATTTATTTGAAAGGCAGAGTGAGAGAGAGCTATCCTCCACCCACTGATTCACCACCCAAATGCCTACAACGCCAAGTGCTGGGCAACGCCTAAGCCAGAACCCAGGAGCTCCATTCAGGCCCAACATGGTGGTGGGACCCCAAGTACCTAGGCCATCACCAGCTGCCTCCCTGGTGTATCAGCAGGGAGCTGAACCCACAACTTAACTCAGTTCCCATTAACCAACCCGACACAGGAGAACTGGGCAGGGCGTGGGCAGGAACAAGGGAGCTGGACACGTTGCCAGCATCTGCCCTAGCCCTGTGCCTTAATGCCACCCCCTTACACGACAGCCAACCCAGTTCACCCACTTGCCCAGGGCAGGAAGGAGAGGTGCTAAACCCTGCACAAACCTCACAGCACCACCCCACTCAGTGAAGGGACGGGACAGCACTGCCTCCACTTGGAAAGCTCACCTCCCTCGGGGCAGAAGCGAGTCTCTGCAGCGAGCCTCTCCCACTGCCCCCACCCTGGTCCCCAGTGTTCACGGCGGGCAGTGCAAGAAGCAAATTCTCAGCAAGGTTCATGCAGCGAGAGGGGCCTCTGCCTTGGTCCGGCACAAGAGCCCTGGGGAAGGAAGCTGGCCAGGGGTTCCCAAGGGTCTGAGAACACTGGCCACGGCCCTCCAAGTGGGGAGGGGTGTGGCCAGCAAGCCCCAGCAGAGAGCAGCAATGCTGCCGGCTGAAGCCCTTCCCTCTGCAGAGTGAGATAATGCAAGAATGCCAGGAATGCCGCAGGCCTTCCCAGTAACCGTCTGCTCCCCGGGGAGCCTCCCGGTTTGAGTCCTGGAATTTTCCACCGCTTTGTCTGCTCCTCCAACTTCTTTGCCTTCAAGTCAACCTTCTGGGTCACCACCCCACCAGTCACAAGTCTGATTAATTGGCCCAAAACACACATTATTCATCTGCTCAGTTTCATCTAAAAGAATCCAATAAAGAGGCAATTCTGTTTTCCAAGGAGATACTCCAACTCCTTGTCCCCAGGAGCCTGGGCGGGAGCCTCGGCCAGGATCTGTGTCAGTAAAGAACTCCTGCCTCGTCAGAGCATGCACGTGTGAACCTGGTTCTGATAAAACACAGACCTGGAGTCTTTCCTGTTGTGCCTCACGATGTTGCATAGTTATGTGACGAGCACAACACTGTCATGCGCTTGCGAGTTCTGTGCTGAAGCAACACCCAGAACATGCCAAGCCATCCCAGCAGATGCTGTGGGCAAGGTGGCAGCGCTGACATGGTGCCACAGCCTTGGCAAAAAGCCCGTGTGAGCCGCGGGGGTGTTTTCCTCCAGCTGTACGTACAGTGTGGCAGACAATCCAAGCACTGACTTCACCTAAAGAAACTGCCGCTGCCTCTGGCAATGGCTGCACAAGATGGGGCGAAGCCACCATGCTCCTCCCTCAGCGGGCTCCCGGGACGCCTGGCCGCTGGGGAGAGGGGTGCATGCCACAGGCAGCACTCATCCTGCCCTGTGTATCACTCCATGCCCTTACCCCCCAAGACAGGGGTGCTGATTACATCATAAAGGACAGCCCTTCTTCTCTGCAGGACATCATTCACCACCAGGCCATGGGGAAGGGCTGGGGAGAAAGCAGCCTAGAGAGGCAACTCCCATCCCTGAACCCAGCCACAAGTAACACCTCACTCTCCTGGCTCTTAGAGCTAAATCCTTGGGACTCCAATCAACCACCAACTAGAACACAGAGCACAAAGAGAAGAGACAAGGCTAATGCTGCACATCCAAAGACAATGGTTACATTGAAAGGCTACTCCAAAAACACACCAGAACTAAAAAGATGGCTGTGTGCTCCCAACACATACCAGAACCAGGGATACAGGCGTGCTCCCCATACACACCAGAACCAGGGATACAGGTGTGCTCTCTACACACACCAGAACCAGGGATACAGGCGTGCTCTCTACATACACCAGAACCAGGGATACAGGCGTGCTCCCTACACACACCAGAACCAGGGATACAGGTGTGCTCCCTACATACACCAGAACCAGGGATACAGGTGTGCTCCCTACACACACCAGAACCAGGGATACAGGCGTGCTCCCCATACACACACCAGAACCAGGGATACAGGCGTGCTCTCTACACACACCATACCAGGGATACAGGTGTGCTCCCAACACATACCAGAACCAGGGATACAGGCGTGCTCCCCATACACACCAGAACCAGGGATACAGGCGTGCTCCCTACACACACCAGAACCAGGGATACAGGTGTGCTCCCTACATACACCAGAACCAGGGATACAGGTGTGCTCCCTACACACACCAGAACCAGGGAGACAGGCGTGCTCCCCATACACACCAGAACCAGGGATACAGGCGTGCTCCCTACATACACCAGAACCAGGGATACAGGTGTGCTCCCTACATACACCAGAACCAGGGATACAGGTGTGCTCCCTATACACACCAGAACCAGGGATACAGGTGTGCTCCCCATACACACACCAGAACCAGTGATACAGGCGTGCTCACCACACACACCATACCAGGGATACAGGCGTGCTCCCCATACACACACCATACCAGGGATACAGGTGTGCTCTCTATACACACACCAGAACCAGGGATACAGGTGTGCTCTCTACACACACCAGAACCAGGGATACAGGCGTGCTCCCTACACACACCAGAACCAGGGATACAGGTGTGCTCCCTACACACACCAGAACCAGGGAGACAGGCGTGCTCCCCATACACACACCAGAACCAGGGATACCGGCGTGCTCACCACACACCAGAACCAGGGATACAGGCGTGCTCCCTACACACACCAGAACCAGGGATACAGGCGTGCTCCCTACACACACCAGAACCAGGGATACAGGTGTGCTCCCTACACACACCAGAACCAGGGATGCATGATACACCAATATTAGAGTCAGGCATGTTCCCTACAGACACCAGAACCATACAGGTGTGTGTTCCTTATGCACACCAGAACCAGAAAGTAGAGTGATCCCTCCACACAGTATAACCAGAGACAGGCACATTCCTGCACACACAAGAACCAGACACAAGCATGTTGCCTGCTCTAGATCCAGAGACATAAGCATGCTCCTTACACGCACTGGAACCAAAGATAGAGGCGTGCTCCCTACACATCTAAGAACCAGAGACAGGCATGTTCCCTATGCACACCAAAACCACAGACCAATGTGCTCGCTACATAAAGCAGAACCAGACAGGTGTGTGCTCCCCTACACACCAGAACCATCTCCAGTCCTGGGAGCTGCCTCACTAGGCTACGAACACACTTTCCTCATGTGTGACCATGGGTTTGCAGTCAGAAGCAGAATACGGCCTGAACATCTGCAGGCCAGGTGCGCATGGCAGCCAGGAAAGGGACTTCCCTTCGTGCTGGAAGCGAGTATACTGGCTCCACTGGGACCGACCCTGGTGCTCTCTTGGCACCTGTCTCCTTGTAGAGCTGCATTTGTCTTTCAGCCCAACACCTGGGTTTGTTTCCAGGCCTGGAATAATGGGCCTCATAAGTGTGTTCACCTGTTACAGGCACAAATTCAGCATCTTCACTTATCTGACAGCTCAATGATTTTGAGTCAAGGGAACAACTGAGTTCCACGCAAGCCGGGGTCTCGAGCAGCATAGGGACAGAGTCTGTGGGAACCCCCACTTCAGGATGGCAAGGGGGTGGCCTTGCACCAGCTGAGGCAGAGAAAGGCCCTGAACACACACATACACCTTACTCCTGAGTGCACCCCAGCACCACGGTGCTCATTGGTGAGGGCGCCTTCTCCTGCCCTCTGCAGCCCCATCCACTCACATGTCTCAGCCTGGCCTCGGTGGGGAAGGGAAGGGACGGAAGGAACTGTGGGACTCAGGACCTCACACTCCTTACTGGAAACCTTTGCCAAGCAGGTATGGTAAGAAGCAAGGGGGTGGTCACTCAGTGTCCTTGTGCTGAAGGCGAGCACACCTTAGGTCTGTGTGTACAGAAAAGCCATAAGGCTGCAGGCCTACGCCTCTTCCTGCAACACAGCCGGGCCCTGAACACTGAGGTCAGAGCAGCCCAGCCACTTAGGTGTCAACAGAGACTCCAGCATGGAAGGTCTTTGCACAAAGGCCAAGAACCCGAGCACCAGGGTTACTGTAGGAAGACAAGCATGGTAGACATGGTCAATCAGGGGAACAAAAGTGTAAATACTACTCACTCCCAGCTGTGTAAGCTCCTGCACCGCAGTGCCTCTTCTGTGAAAACGCGACAACAGGGCCGGCTTCAGAGGCTGGCTGGCAGATCCGACCGCGGACACTCACGGGCTCTTAAAGCCGAACCCAGAAGCACAAAGTGCTTGACGAGCATCGTCTGCTCATAGCTCTTACCCCTGCTGGCTCCCCACGGGCCTTGCTCAATGAGGGAGGTTTTGCTGATGGCCTGGGAATCTCAGCCCACAGCAGATCTCACAGCTAAGGATTCCCCAGCAAGAGCCTAGCCCCTGCTCCCAGCCACAGGGGCCAGGGAGGGCCTTGTGTCCCCTCACTTCACAAACACTGAAGAATCTTTTTCAACACTGCAGTAAAAACTCCAAAACTGGACTTGAAAATCTGCCCCTTCCTGGGTCCCTGTTTCAATGCCTGGAACCCTCACTTGGGGTATCTGTGTGGTGTCACCAGCTGTGCTCACCTAACTGTCCACAGGGAGCAGAATCACGCTCACTGTCAAAGCACAGCACAGGCTGGCACTGTGGCGTAGCAGGTAAAGCCACCACCTGCAGTGCCAGCATCCCATTTGGGCACCCATTCGAGTCCTGGCTGCTCCACTTCTGATCCAGCCCTCTGCTATGGCCTGGGAAAGCAGTAGAAGATGGTCCAAGTCCTTGGGCCCCTGCACCTGTATGGGAGACCCGGAAGAAGCTCCTGGCTCCTGGCTTCAGATGGGCCCAGCTCCAGCCGTGGTGGCCATTTGGGAAGTTACCAGTGGATGGAAGGTACCTCTCTCTCTCCACTTCTCTCTCTCTCCCTGTCTCCCTCTCCCTCCCCGCCCCCCGCCTCTCTGAAACTCTGCCTTTCAAATAAATTAATTAAAGAAAGAAAGAACACATATCACATGATGGTTCTAGAACTTGCTGCTGAAATCACTGGGTTGGGAGTTGAAGCTGGATCAAATTTGCTTCCTCCCAAGGACTGAGTGTTGACGTGGAAACAGAATCTGTGATGCATGTTTGTGCAACACGTGTTCAAAAGAAGGAGCTCTGGGTGCAAGTCCTGCATTCCCACGGCCTCCTCACCTGGCCCAGGCGGTCACCGGGAACCCCTGGCTCCTGGTTTCCTTCGCAACAGGTGACCCCTCCCCTCTAATTCTTAATTTCCCCAAGCTGGGCATTTGTTTGCGTGAACCTGAGAGTCACTTAAACCTAGCAGATTTCAGGAAAGTATCTGATAAACAAGCAGTCTTACAAGCAATTCAAGACGTCTCGGAACTGGCTCTCAACCAGTGCAAAATCGTATGCAGGCGAAACCTTCAACCACACAGTGCAGTGCCATGCGGTGTGGCTGAATGACACTCAGTGACCTTGAGGATGGGAGGGGCCGTGTCTTCCAGAGGAGAGCGGAAGCACAGGTGCAGGCTGTATCTGCACCACTGTCCACACTTCAGAATGCCCGGTACCAAGCATGGCTGCTTCTCTCTCCCCCCTTTCTGGTTTGATCAGTGCAATGACCTGCTGAGATGGGTGCCCCAGGACCCCCAGGTGCTCAACACTCACACCAGGACCTCCTGACTCTCAGAGGAAACCCAACCCATCCAGGAGTGACCAATGCTGTGGTTCACAGGCCTGGGGCCGGATTACAGAGGCCAGGTCAGCCTCTGCCCACGCTCCCCCACCCCACCCGAGGCACTGGAAAGGACTGCCACGGAAACTGAAGTCCCAGCTAGAAGCCAGGGGTGAGTCGCACACGGCTCCCGTGCCCACAGCTGTGTTCCTGTCATCCATGGCTGCGGGGGGGGGGGGGGGGGGGGGACTGTTTGCCCATCCTGGGACTCTGGCCTTCACTGGCTTCACTGAAAAGGATGGAGGTGGCCATGAGAAAGTCCCAGACACGCCACAGCCAAGGACATCACTGGGAGGATTTGAGAACTACACCCTCTCCATCAACTGGCAGAGGAGTGACAACTACAGCACAAACTCGTGCTTCAGAAAGCAGCCTGCACTTCAACATCGTTGATTCACTGGCCCCTGGGTTAGGAACCAGGCCACGGCACACCAGAAGGGCCTGCTAGGGGCCAGGCCACTGGGCAGGGGGAGCCAGCAGTGCTGCCAGCATCCGTGGCCACACCACTCCAGGGCTTTGTCACAGGGGTTCTGCACCACACACAGCCCCAGTCCCCAAGAGTGAAGTGAGAGATTCCTGGGGTCAGGCTGCATCGCCAGGGACAGATCCTCACAACCCAGCTCAGAATCAGAGATGTGTGGTGTAGCAGGTTAACAGCGCCTGCAATGAGCTCTGGTTCGAGTCCCAGCTGCTGCTCCACTTCAGAACCAGCTCCCTGCTAATGCACCTGGGAAAGCAGCAGAAGACGGCCCAAGTGCCTGGTCCTGCCACCCATATGGGAGACCTGGATGGAGTTCGAACCTCCCGGTTTCAGCCCAGTCTTTGTTGCTGTAATCTGGGGAACTGAAGATCTCTTTCTGTCTCTCCCTCTCCCTCCGGAACTCTGTCTTTCAAGTAAAATAAATCTTTAAAAAGAAACAAACTAGACTTATTGGTCAGCTTTGTCGCTCCCCCTCTTCGTGGAGGAACGACACAGGACCCTGCGCTGTTCTTTTGTCTGCTCGGCCCTCCCCGGGTTTGCTGCTGGTTCTTCCCGGGTTGGCTACTATCCCTTCCACCTCCGTGGAAGGGCAGTTCCCCCTGGCCACATTCCCCACTTCCGCAGGGGAGCGGCACACCGCCGGCCGGCTCTCTCGGGGGCTGCACAGGTGTTCCTTCAGCTAGATGTTCCCCTTAGATGTTCCTGGTGCATGCCGTCTCTCTCCTCCTTTATAGTCCTCCTCTGCCAATCCTAACTCGGCTGCCCACACGCCGAGTACGCTGCTCTCCTCCAATCAGTAGCAAGTCCTACAGTTTATTGGTTGAACTGGAGGCAGCTGTGCGGAAGCTGTTTACTTCTCTCCCAGCGCCATATTGTGGGAGAGCAGATGCATAGAATAAGTCTTAATTCCAGTAACTCAGTCCAGTCCGGGCTGCTCCCCACAAGCTTCCCTTTAAAAAAAAATAGTTAAAGATTTTACAGCAAGAGTGCCACTGATGATCCAATACAACGCATACATAAGAAAGGCCTGCATCCCAATGCACACTTGAAACAAGTAAAGAAAGAAAAGGAGAGGAGAGTGCTTTGAGGTTTCCAAAAAGGGACTTTTTAAGACTTACTTACTTATTTGAAAAGGAAAGCAATATACAGAAACAGAGACAGACATATTCCATCTGCTGGTTCACTCTCCAAATGGCTACCACAGCCAGAGCTGGGCCAGGCTGAACGCAGGAGCCAGGAGATTCATCCAGATCTCCCACGTGGGTGCAGGGGCATCTTCTGCTGCTTCCCCAGGTGCATCAGTGGGGAGCTTGATTGGAAGTGGAGCAGCCAGGACTAGAATCCATGCTCCTACATGGGAAGCAGCATGGCAACAGCGGCCCCAGTGATGGTTTTTAAATCAGGAGAGTAAGAAGCGGCTCCAAGGAGTGGTGTTGGAAACGAGCCCTGGAGGCTGACTGGACTGCGGATGAACTGGTGGGTGCACACTCCCATGAGCCCCTCTGAAGACACAGACGCTCCCGAGCAGGGCGAGCGCTGGGGACGCAGGCGTTCACAGGAAGCAGGACCGGAGTCCACACGCATGAGGACACGCAGTGACCACCTGCTGTATCCAGGTGGGAAGTGCAAGTGACAGGCGGATTCCCAAACACAGGTGTCACCTCTAGGCTAAGGCCACGGGTGGATGCTCGACACGGCCACAGAGACAGACAAATGACATGATCCTGGCGGGGTCCACGATCCACTGGAAACAAGAAGACAGGCAGAAAGAAGGCTGGCTGGCAGAAGGCCGCCAGGACCAGGGGCCGGCTCCGTGGTGCAGTAGGTTAATCCTCCGCTGCGGCACTGGCATCCCATATGGGTGCTGGTTCTAGTCCCAGCTGCCCCTCTTCCAATCCAGCTCTCTGCTATGGCCTGGGAAAGCAGCAGCAGATGGCCCAAGTGCTTGGGTCCCTACACCCGTGTGGGAGACCGGGAGGAAACACCTGGCGCCTGGTTCTGATCAGCACAGCTCCGGTCGTTGCGGCCATTTGGGGAGTGAATCACCGGAAGGAAGACCTTTCTCTCTGTCTCTCCCTCTCACTGTCTATAACTCTACCTCTCAAATAAAATAAAAATCTTAAAAAAAAAAAAAAAAAGAAAGAAAAGAAAGAAGGCTGCCAGGACCCAGCCCCAGCGAAACATGGCAGGACACTGGTAACACCAGA